AGGAGGAGGAGGAGGAGGAGGAGGCAGCAGCAAAAGAAGCAGTAGCAGCAACAGCAGCTTTCACACCCTCTGCTTCTCAGGCTCGGTGTGTGGGAAATGACAACCCTGTCCAGCCAGGCCCAGCGACCAGCCTGTCACCAGGGCGGTGGTAGGAACAGCCCCATCCAGGAGCTTGGCGGCACCTCAGCCCCATGCTCTGAGCCCGCCCCCGCCCCTCCAGGCATGGACCCCGACTAGCCCCTCACAGCACCCCAAGGCTCAGGCTGCCCTGCCCCAGGCCTGAGGGTGAGGCTGCAGATTCACTTCTCTTGAGCCTGTTTCCTCGTCTGTCAAGTCGGGTTAGAGTCCCTAGGGCCGTGCCTCCCAGGGAGAGGCTGGTGGCCAACAGGACAGCACGTGTCCCCTCGGGGCCTCTCACACACTAACTCAGCACCCGGGGAATGGGTCCTTCATTGCCACCTCATCCTTGCGGGGCATCACCGTGCCTACATGGTTGGATGTGTATCTCTACGCTTATCCGAGGTGGGCCCAGGTCACAGGGGCAGCTGAAATGTCACCCCCAGCACATGACGAAGGGAACAGCACCAGGGGTCCGGAAACCAGCTTGGGTCGGGGCACCAAAACTCACCACTGAGGTGAAGTTGCTCAGTCTGGTGGCTTCAGGGCACTGGGACCTGGCGGATGATGTACAGAGATCTGAGCCGGCTCAAGAGCACAGGTGAGGCTCAGACAACCCAGGGACCACATGTCACCCAGGAGAAGCCACGGGGTGAGAAAAACAGTGTGTAGCCTGGGGGAGAGAATGCCCACTCACAGAGGAACATCCTTGAGAGGGCTGAGAACTGGCCAGTGTTCTCACGAAAACTAAGAGGGGAGAAGCATTCCAGAAGTAAGAAACAGCTTTCGGCCCAAAAGGAGACAGTGAAGGAGGAAGTGGTCCAGACAGAAACAGCATTAGACAGGCAGATGGGAAGCGGGAGGGGAAGAATACCCTCCCAGGCCACCCGTCTCCATCTTTCATCATCTCTCCCATTATCTAACCTTTTATCCATCATCCATCCATCCTCCCACCCATCATGTATGCATCCATCCTTCCACTATTATTTATCTGTCCATCCATCAACTATCCTTCCAACCACTATCCATCTATCCACCCATCCATCTTTCCCCACCCATTCATCCATCCATCTCTTCCACCCATCCATCCTTCCCATCATCTATTTATCCATCCACCCGCCATCCATCCCATCCTTTCACCCATTATCACCCATCCTTCTACCTATTATTACCCATCCTTCCACCCATTATCCATCCACCCACCCATCCATGCTTCTCCACCAATATCCAACCTTCTAGTCATCATCCATGCCCCTGCCCATCATGTATTCATCCATCCCTCCATTATTATTCATCTATCTATCCATCAACTATCCTTTCACCCATTATCCATCCACCCACCCATCCATCCTTCCCCATCCATTCATCCATCCATCTCTTTCACCCATCATTCCATCCATCCGCCATCCATCTTTCTCATCATCCATTCATCCATCCACCCACCATCTATCCCATCCTTCCACCCATTATCACCCATTCTTCCACTCATTATCCATCCATCCATCCATCCAACCATCCATCCATCCACCCATCCATCCAACCATCCATCCATCCATCCAACCATCCATCCATCCATCCATCCAACCATCAAACCATCCATCCATCCATTCATCCATCCATCCATCCAACCATCCATCCAACCATCCATTCATCCATCCATCCATCCATCATTCCTTCCCACCCATTCACCCATCCATCCCTTCCACCCATCATTCCATCCATCCACTGATCCATCCTTCCCATCACCTATTCATCCATCCTTCCACCCACCCCACCATCCATCCTGTCCTTCCACCCATTATCACCCATCCTTTCACCCATTATCCATCCACCCACTGGTCCATCCTTCCCCACCCATTCGTCCATCCATCTCTTCCACCCATCATTCCATCCACCCACCCATCCATCCTTCCCATCATCTATTCATCCATCCACCCACCTTATACCCATCCATGATCCATTCATTCACCTACCTACCCCCTGTCCACTGCCAATGACAGAACCACCTGCTGGCCCACATGCATGAAACAGTGTAGTACTTGGGTGATAATTGATAAAATGTGCACACACAGCACCATACAATCTACATGAGTCTGCGTTTGTTCTGCCTCTTGCAGGGGGTAGATATGGCATTGGGGACAAAGGAGGTAAAATCTGAGGTCTGAGAAGGAACTGGTCGGTCACTCCTGAGAGAGACACTGCTCTCCTACCACTCAGACATGGACACAGCGGTGTCCTAGCTGGCCGCTGCCCTGAGGGAAAAGCCCATCTATTTTAGGTGGAGCCAGAGAACCATCTGGGTTCAGACAAGCCCTGTGTGTGAAGGACAGAGTGTGACTGTGTACAGCAGCTCTCGTGACTAACGTAAGGGACACTGTCATCCCTAACTAAATGTCTGGGACAAAGGACCTGCCACGCAAGAATCCATGGGGATATGCAGGTCAAGTGCTAAACCAATGACTCTCAACTCATGAGATTCACACACATGCACGCACGCACACAGACACACATACACACACACATGCGACATTATAGGGGGAGAGATCAGTGACAATCTCCAAACATCCCACAAAACAGAAAACAGAGGTAAACTCCTCCTTAACCAAGGATTATCCAGTCTAAAATATCTATTCTGTTCAGGTTTTTTCTTTTTGTTCTGGGACCAAACTTGGCTTGCTCAGGGCTTACTCTTGGCTCTACACCCAGGAATTACTCCTGGTGGTGCTCAAAGGACTGTCTGGGATACCAGGGAATTGAACCCAGGTCAGCTATGTGCAAGGCAAGTACCCGACCTGCTATGCTATATCACTTCAGCCTGATCCTGTCCGGGGTGGAAACACCACCCTTCGCTATGCTAAAGATCAACTCACATTTGTTACAAACATTCTCTCCAAAGACTTCTAGCATTGATCCTTGGCTTTTATGTGCACACAAAATGCTCTCTTTCTCCCCTAGGTTGTTCTACAGAACACACGGAATAGTCCTTACTCCATTTTATAGCCACAGGGTTGTGGAACAATTCAAGCCTTCCCAGAAATGAGTCACATACAAAATCCCAGTAGCCCATCTACACAACGAAGACCCATTTGTTGGCAAAAAATAGTAAAAATGATAATTATATATATATATATACATATATTTTGCTTTTTAGGTCACACCTGGCAATGCACAGGGGTTACTCCTGGCTCTGCACTCAGGAATTACTCCTAGCGGTGCTCAGGGAATCCTATGGGATGCTGGGAATCGAACCCAGGTCAGCTGCGTGCAAGGCAAACGTCCTACCTCCTGTGCTACCACTTCAGACCCAGTAATAATAATAATAATAATAACAACAACAACAACTCTCCAGGCTCTCCAAAATGACAAACTTGGTTAGTTCTCGTCTCATTGAAGAGCTGACTTCCGTCACTCAAACTGCCAGTAGCAGATCCCGTGAAGGAATCCCTGGGCCCATCTCTGACTCTGCCGCCAACCTGCCCCCTGCCACCTGCCTTGCCCACACCCTCACCAGAACGTCACACGTGTCCTTGGGAGATGAGGACCCAGCATGGCCGCCATCCTGCCTGGGGGACCGCCCGGCTCCTAACTCCAGCTCAGAGGAGAAAGAAGGGCCATCCCAAGGTCCAGCCAGGACACCCGTGTCTGGCCGCAGGACGCTGAGAACACACACTTCAGGGCATGTGGGTGATCTGCCATCACTGAGGCCCAGGGCCAGCCCCTCAAGTCATGCATGCGGGACTCTGGAGGCCTGAGGCAGCGAGGCAGAAGAAACATTTCCCGGGGACCCAATAAGACGAGTCGCCTCCGTCTATACACCACACCTCCAGGGGTGCTCATGGTCTGTTCCCAGCACAGGGATCCCACTGAGCGACACCTTAGTGCTGGAGGTCAAACCAGCAGCCGCCCACACGCAAAGTCTGCACTCAAGCTGATGAGCGCTCTCCCTCCCTCCCTCCCTCCCTCCCTCCCTCCCTCTCCCTCTTTCTCTCTCCCTCCTTCTCTCTTTCCCTACCTCCTTCTCCCTCTCCCTCCCTCCCTCCCTCCCTCCCTCCCTCCCTCCCACTCTCTCCCTCCCTCTCTGGCACATTCTTTCTCTCTCCCTCTTCTCTCCCTCCCTCTCTATCACACACACAGGAGTATAAATTTCCACCGAATAAAACTCTTATTTGCCACCTGTCCACTTGGAAAGCTCTAGCATGGAATTCACATTCACTTTTTTTTTTTTTTTGGTTTGTACTTAGGGCCACACCCCCCAGTGTTCAGAGCTTCTTCCTGGCACTGCACTCAGGAATCACTCCTGGTGGTGCTTGCAGGACCATATAGGATGCCGACGATCAACCTGGCTGATCTCTCTCTCTGTTTCTCTCTGTCTGTCTCTGTCTCTCTATCTCTCTGTCTCTGCCTCTCCCCCCCACCCAAAGGAGTATAACTTGCCACAGAACAAAACTCTTACTTGCCACCTGTCCACTTGGAAAGCTCTAGCATGGAATTTACCATGTCCACGCACTGTTTGGGGTTTGTGTTTGTGTTTGGGGCCACACCAGGGCTTCCTCCTGGCTCTGCACTCAGGAATCACGCGTGCCGGTGCTCGGAGGACCATACAGGATGCCGGGGATCAACCCAGGTCAGCAAACGCCCTCCCTGCTGTCCTATCTCTCCAGCCTCAGGCACGGACTTTCTAAGCCCACATGGATCCGAGTCTGCGGCCCTTCCCTGAAACGAGTAGGTGGGTTCGGGGCACTCACTCAGCCCCAACCCAGGAGTGCAGGGGCTCAGGTCTGCGTCCTCTTTCTGGAGACTTGCCATGAGGGGCACACCACCACCTCAGCCCATCTTCCACCCGCGCCCTCACTCGCAACTTGCTGAAGGGCTGGCATACCCACCTGGAATCTCCGCATGTCCCGCGGGTTCCCGGCATTCTTTAGGCAATTCTGGTTACATTTGAGGAAGAATTTCAGGAAGAACCTGTGAAGAAACAAGAGGGTTCCCATCAGCACGTCATTGGTCCCAGCAACGCCCGGCTGCCAGGTCCTGCCTCCCGCACCTCACATTCTAGAACGTTCTAGAATGTTCCAAACGACGGGAGCGCCAGTATTTTTGTTGAGTGCTTTGGCTCTGAGTTTTGCATCTAGGATGGAGCCCACTCTCTGTGCCACCAAAAGGCTCCTCTAGAACGAAGCCCTGCCTCCCCAGAAAGTTTTTTCCCGCTTTAATATATGCAGTTCTGGCAAGGCAGGATGCCCAACAACACGCAACACCCACAGAAGTGACCCTGTGAATTCATGAGCAAACGGCAGGGAGGCATCCTGTGAGGACAATGAGTGTAGGGTCTTTTCCCCTCAGACGTCTCGCTCGCTCTCTCTCCTCACCCTGCCTAATACATGGTTCGAGAGGAAGTCCTTGGGGCAGATTTGCGAGGGTGAGCACAAACATGCCCCAACTCGCCAGGAACATACATCAACACACACACACACACACACACACACACACACACACACACACACAGAGCGACCCCTGGTCCCAGTGATACTCTGCTCCCAGGTCCTGCCTCCTGCACCCTCCACATTCTAGAATGTTCTAGAATGTTGTTCCAGAATGTTCTAGAATGTTCTGACTGGCAGGAACATTCCGACCAGCTGTGGAAGGTTTTTTTTTCTCCTCTACTGCCCTTCCAGGTGCCCACCTCAGTGTGAGATGGGGGGGGGGGGGACGGGGGGGGGGGGGTAGGCCAAGAGCTGGTGTAGAGTTAGTTCTGAGCATAACTTGGGGACTTGGGGGTGGGGGCATCCGTGAGGGTGGACACGGAAGATGCCCCAGGCTCCCCCCGAGTCTGAACGATCATGCAGACAGAATATTCTCCTTCCTAGCCTGTTGGCACCTGCCAGGTGAGGCGTGTGGTAGCTGAGGAGAAGGGGCAGTCCCCTCTGGGCTACACCAACTTCTTCCTGCGGGGGCTGTGGTGGACGCCACGTGGCACTTAACATTTCCCCCATAAAAGTCGTCTCCGATGACCCTTCACCCTGCCTCTTGCCTCCCTTCGCAGAGGTCAAAGGTTAGCAGACTGCCCCCAGGGCCCCATGCAGCTATGCCCAGTGGGCTGGCCCAGATGCTGCCCGGTCTCTTAGGGTGGACAGGCCATGGGTGGGGGGGTCCTGATGAGGGCACTGAGGGGACCCACACCAACCTCCAGTCCCAGGTCCTTCCCCCTGGGCTCCCGTGAGCGCTGGGAAGGATTCGAGGATGGAGATGGCGAGGACACCACATGTGCCCACCTCAGGGTCAAAGGCACATCGGGGCAAGGGGTGCATGGGGAGATGGCCGATGGTGACAGACCTTGCACCTCCACTCCCGGGCACCCAACTCCCCTTCCCTCTGGCCTTGGCACCCAGCTTCCTTCCCTACAATCCGGGTCCTCCTCCACTTCCGTTCCCTACAGCTTGGGAACTCCACTCCTCTCACCTCCAACCTGGGGACCCGCTCCCCCTCCCGATGGCCTGGGGAGGCCACTTCCTTAGCCTGCAGGCTGGGTGCAAGTGCAGCCCCAAGCCTTCCACTGCACCGTGAGATGATGGGGAGGGTCCCTGCACAGCCAGGGGTCAGAGGTCAGGGGCCAAGAGAGGGAGAGGATTTCCGGGAGCAGGGGTGTCCCTCCTGGGTCCCCTAGGAGCAGACAGAGGCACAGAGTGAATGTGGGTCCCAGGTGGGGCGGCTCCTGCCTTCGTGGCCACTGGCCACCCGTGATGATGAGAGGAGAGGGGAGGAAGGGGACAAGCAGGGAGCTCCGTGCCCCCACCCAAACCTGTAGTGCCCGCTTCCCTCTGGGGCCACTCCCAGGACCCTTGGCGTCTGTCCCTGCTGGCCAGAGCCGGGGTGTGCTGGCAGACTCTTCTGCCCCTGGGGACAGGTTCCTGTCGTCGGCCGTCCTTCGCACGCACGCTCTGCCCAGGGCACACGAGATGCCTGAACCTCCAAGGGCCCGTCCCTGGCATGCTGGCACCGCCCCCCCCCCCCCAGCGTCACCTGCTGACACTCAAGGCTTGACCATCTGCCGAGGGGGGTGGGGGGGGCAGTGGGAACATCGTGAGTGCCTGGGCCTCACACCAGCCCTTATGTGGCAAAGATGGCCCCAGGGGCCAGGCCTTGGGAGGGAGCCCTGCGCGTCCCCGTGGCCTGCTCCAGAGTTCTGGCCACGTTTTCCCCTGGGCATAGGCCAAGAGCCTGACTCATCAGGCTCCTGCTTGCTGAGGGGAAAGGAGAGCTCAAAATACCCCCGGGTCAGGCCTAGAGGCGGGCACAGATTTCAGGCGTGACTTATCAGGCTGCTTTTAAGGCATGTGTGAAACCAGGTGTGTGTGTGTTTGTGTGTGTTTGTGTGTGTGTGTGTGTGTGTAAGGCATGTATGAACCCAGAGACTTGCGTGTATATATGTGTAAGGCATGTGTGAACCCAAGGACCTCTGTGTGTGTGTATGTGTGTAAGGCATGTGATGTGTGAACCCAGGGACCTGTGTGTGTGAGGCATGTGTGAACCCAGAAACCTGTGTGTGTGTGTGTGTGTAGGACGTGTGTGAACCCAGAGGGGTGTGTGTGTGTGTAAGGTGTGTGTGAACCCAGGGACCTATGTGTGTGTGTAAGGTGTGTGTGTGTGTGAACCCAGGGACCCGTGTGTGTGTGTGTGTGTGTGTGAGTGTGTGTGTATGAGCTCAGATTTCTAGAGGCTTTCAATGAAGCTGAGGTGACCGTCATGCAAAGCCTCAGTATTACCTGACCAATCACCACGTTCCAGAGGGGCAGAAGGGCGGCGATAAAGTGCCATGGGCAAGACTCTTGTCACCTTTCCCCAGCCCTGGGAAACAGGCCTGGGGCAGGAACAAAGTCCCCGTTGAGTCTGGGGGTTCGCAGAGTTCCAAAAACCTTGAAGAAACAGCCCAACCAGGACCATCTCTGGGCTTTTTCCGCCTAACCTGGGGTTGGGCGGCAAAAAATTCGACTGTTGCGAGTCTGTGTGTGTGTGTGTGTGTGTGTGTGTGTGTGTAGTGTTCTCCTATTCAAAGCACCCACATCCCCAACATTTCCGTACATCCTCAGACATATAACCCAAGCATCTGTCTATCCATAGTTGAACCCAAACTAAATTCCCACATGAGTTATGAGAACTCACTAAAGCATGTGGGTTTTTCTGCAAATCACAGGTCAACTGACGGATCCTAGGCTGAGCTGCTCCTGGGGCACATGAGTGAGAGGGGTGGACAGTGGTGCTGACAAGGCTCACAGCATTCCCACAGGGACAAGGACCAGACCAAGGGACATCAGCTGTGCAAGTTCTCCAACATAAAGTGAACTTTTTAAAAAAACGGACCCCAAAGAAGAAACACCTCTGCTATTTGCAGTTGTTTTGAAAATATGCAGAGAAACCCTTAAATCTCTCTCTCTCTCTCTCTCTCTCTCTCACACACACACACACACACACACACACACCAAAACTATTAGAAATAATGGATCCAGTAAGGTAGCTCAATTTTTTAAAAAATACACACCAATATATTGTGTTTCGATAGGCAAACAAAGCATTGAAAGGAAAAGGAAATTAAGGAAACAATCCCATTTGCAATTGCAGCAAAAAAATAAAAAAGGATAAAATATCTGAGAACAAATCTAACAAAGAAGGAGGGAGATCTGTACAGTGCATGTTATAAGGCACTAATGAAAGAAATAGACAAGGGAATCGGGAGACCAGAGCTGGTTGCCGAGTGGAAGAAGAAACATTAAAATAGCCACTCAATTAAAACAACCCAGAGGTGCATAAAACCCCTATCAGGGGCTGGAGAGATAGCACAGCGGGTAGGGCGTCTGCCTTGCACGCGGCCGACCCAGGTTCGATTCCCAGCATCCCATATGGTCCCCTTAGCACTGCCAGGAGAAACTCCTGAGTGCAGAGCCAGGAATAACCCCTGTGCATTGCCAGGTGTGACCCAAAAAGCAAAAAAAAAAAAAAAAAACCTATCAAAATACCGATGGCATTTTTTTTCATTCCCAAAGTTGTATGGAATCGTATGATAAAGGCCCCAAACAACCAAAGCAATTCTGAGAGCGAACAAGAACGTCAGAGTTGGAAAAATAGTACAGGGGGAGGGTGCTTGCCTTGCACGTGGCCGACCTGAATTCAATCCCCAGCATCCCAGAGAGTCCCCAAGCCCTGCCAAGAGTGGTGATTCCTGGGTGCAGAGCCAGGAGCAACTCCTGAGCATTGCCAGGTGTGTCCTCAAAACAAACAGCAAGGGAAAAAAAATAGAAACAGAGTTGCCATATGATCTGGCAATCCCAACTTCAAACATCTTTCCAAAGGACACTTGTTGAAAAGGATATCGGCGCCCTGACAGTTCACCGGAGAATCATTCAGAACACCAAAACTTCAATGCCCGTTGACAGATGACTGGGAAAAGACATGGAATGTCACAGTGCCATTAAGAAGAAAAAAAAATATTGCCTCCCAGGGCTCTGGGGATGGAACTGGAAGGGATCATGCCAAGTGGAAGGAAAGTGAGGAAGTGAGAGACAGTCATCAGCTGCCTTCACTCAGATGCAGACTGTGGATATTTAAAGCCAGCAGACTGGCGAGAAAGAATCAGACTCTTTTCCAGACTCGGGAGTAAAACCAGGGTGATTAGCAGAGAGAAAAGGGCAGGAGAAGAAGGTATGGTGTGGGGGTGGGATGGTACTGAGAACGTGGTGGGGGTTATGGTGAGGATAACCCACACAGAGGGGTGTGAAAGTGAACCCCTGAAATTCCATAGTACTGTAAAGCATGAAAAGCCCATGCGGGTGGGGGGAGACGAAGGGGCTGGAGCGATGGTATAGTGGGTCGGTCATTTGCCTTGCATGCGGCCAATCCGGATTAGATTCCCAGCATCCCATAGGGTCCCCCGAGCACCACCAGGAGTAATTCCTGAGTGCAGAGCCAGGAGT